TGGGCTGAGCCCCACTACATGGAAAATAGGTGGTAAGAGCCCTCTCCCTTTGCATGACATACTCGTCCTTTAATGTCCTGGTAGGTCAGCAAGACTGGAGCAGAGGGAGCCGTCCTGGATGAGGCAAAGAATATCAACAAGTCACTGTCAGCCCTGGGGAATGTGATCTCTGCGCTGGCTGAGGGCACTGTGAGCACGGTCCCCTCACCCCTCAAGTTCTACTCCATCTCCCACCTTCTCTTCCTCCACCTTCTCCTGAGGCTGCCATTTTACCAGGCCCCTATTCATGGATTGCCCAATCTCTAGTCAGCACCACTGTCCTTTCTGATTCTCCTCTTAAATTTATTTTTCTGATTCACATCTTCTTCCTACTCCAGAAAAGCTATGTTCCATATCGTGATAGCAAAATGACACGGATTCTCCAGGACTCCCTGGGAGGAAACTGCCGGACAACTATGTTCATCTGCTGCTCACCATCCAGCTACAATGATGCAGAGACCAAGTCTACCCTGATGTTTGGGCAGCGGTCAGTCGCGGGGTCCCTAGCTCCCTGCCCAGCCCCTGCCGCTCTCTCCCCTCAGCATCACGTGAGCCTTAGTGGAGGTCTTGTCTCTTTGTTCCCTTCTCCTCACCCAGGGCAAAGACTATTAAGAACACTGCCTCAGTGAATCTAGAGTTGACTGCTGAGCAGTGGAAGAAGAAATATGAGAAGGAGAAGGAAAAGACAAAGGCTCAGAAGGAAACAATTGCAAAGCTGGAGGCTGAGCTGAGCCGCTGGCGCAATGGTTAGTGAGGGGACCTGCAGGCACAGGAGACAGGAGGAGGAGGAGGGGGCTTAGGGAGCCAGAGAGGGTCCTGTCTGGAGTCGTGCTTAAGGGCTATATTTCTGGAGGAGTGCAGCAGGGCGGCCATGAGGGAAGGGGCAAGGGCCTGACTACCATACTCCCCCACCCCCGAAAAGGTCCACTTGGCAAGAGAGGAGTCTTGGTGTTGAGAAGTGAGAGAGAAAGGACCCTTGGATGCCGCTTTCCCTTCTCCCATCCCTCACCTTGTTCTGCCCCTTCAACAGGAGAGAATGTGCCTGAGACAGAGCGCCTGGCCGGGGAGGATGCAACCTTGGGAGCTGAGCTCTGCGAGGAGACACCAGTGAATGACAACTCCTCCATCGTGGTGCGTATTGCACCCGAGGAGCGGCAGAAGTATGAGGAGGAAATCCGCCGCCTCTACAAGCAGCTCGATGACAAGGTGAGGACAGTTAGGCAGGGCACCGGTGAGTCCAGTGGGGAGAGAAGTGAGAGATTTAAAAATTAGCTTATATGGCCCTTTTATGATTTTAAAATGGATAAATGCTCATTATTGAAAATGTAGAAGATAAATAAAAATACATAGAAGGAAATTAAAATCATCCATCATTCCACCATTCAGAAATAACACTATTAACATTTTGCTTTTCTTTGTACATATACCACGCAATTGAGATATACTGTATATGTAACTTTGCATTCAATTTTTTTTCATTCAGTATTATATAATGAACAATTTCTTACTTTTAACAATTCTTCATAAAAGTATTTTTAAATGGCTGCTTAACAGTCCATTTATCAGAATGTATTTAACCATTCACTTATTACAGGCTTTCTAGTTTTTCGTTTTGTTTTGTTTTGCTTTTATAAATTCTTATGAAATGACTAACTTTGCCTCTTGTACATAATACTTAGCTTTTGAATGATTTGATTAGAATGGAGCACTAGAGTAGAATGTGTAGGTTAAGGATATGAACATTTTTTAAAAATTTTATTTATTTTTATTATTTTTTAGGTGAGCCAACCCTTGGTTTACCTCACAGATTGCAAGGACCTTGTCAGCTTACAATCCCTTATTTTTTATTTTTTATGCCTATAGCACCTGGTCTTCCTAGATGGTCTCCCATCCAAGTACTAACCATGCCCGTCCCTGCTTAGCTTCCGAGATCAGACGGGATCGGGCTTGTTGAGGGTGGCATGGCCATAGACAAGAATATGAACATTTTAAGCTTTTTGCTGTGTATTGTCAAGGGTATACCAACTTCCAGGGAGAAAGGAATTTAAAAGTGAGGGTAGAAGTTGAGGAAAGAAGCTGAAGATATTCTTTTAGGATATGAGGGTTTTAATTCAAAGCCTATAGTATCTGGATTTTATCAAGATCCTACTGCTCCCTCAATCCCATAAGGCTAAACTGGAACGACTAGCTTCCCTTCACTCCATCTTTCCCTCTTGCCTCCAACAGGATGATGAGATCAACCAGCAGAGCCAGCTCATAGAGAAGCTCAAGCAGCAAATGCTGGACCAGGAAGAGGTAATGGGGAGGAGGGCAAGACATGGAGGAGAGAGGTGTTCATCCCTAGAAGGCTTAAAAAGAAAGATCTTTTTACAGTCAGATGGAATAAGGAGCATTCAGCTAAGATTAGTCACCTCCAAAACTATAGAAGTTTGGGGACTTAATTGGTGTCTAGGTGATTCTTCATTCTGTTGCCCTATTTATTTATTTATTTAGGTAAAGCCAAGCTTGAGTAAATTAAATTTTTTTTTCAGTTACAGTTGACATTCAATATTATATTAGTTTCAGGTGTACAGCATAATGGTTAGACATTTGTATAACTTACAAATGTCTAGTACATAAATCTACATAAATCTTACATAAATCTAGTACCCTCCTGGCATCATACATAGTTATTATAATATTATTGACTATAGGCTCTATGAGGTACTTTACGTCTTGTGACTGTTTTGTAACTGCCAATTTGTACTTCTTAATCCCTTCACTTTTTTCACCCAGCCCCCAACCCTTCCCATCTGACAATTATCAGTTTGTTCTCTATATCTCTGATGCCTTATTTCTAAGAAGCCTAAAGCCCACTTCCTCTTGACTCTTATATTGGCCCTGGCCACTCTCCTAGAGCTATGCCTGGGACGGGGGCTCAGCTTCCCCAGACCAAGGGGCCACAGAAGTGGTCAGTGGCAGCAGACTCTCTCACATGCCTCCCCTCTCCCTTGAAGCTGCTGGTGTCCACTCGAGGTGACAATGAGAAGGTCCAGCAAGAGTTGAGCCACCTGCAGTCGGAGAACGATGCTGCTAAGGATGAGGTGAAGGAAGTGCTGCAGGCCCTGGAGGAGCTGGCTGTGAACTACGACCAGAAGTCCCAAGAGGTGGAAGAAAAGAGCCAGCAGAACCAGCTTCTGGTGGATGAGCTGTCTCAGAAGGTGGTGAGTGGCTGACCTGAATCTAAGCGCTCCCTGGCCTCAGAACATCCTCCACATCCAAAGGGACCTCTCCTTCCTTCCAGGGCTGCATAATGTTTGTACCTTTGTACTGCTGTTCAGTGTGTTGTGAGACCTTCCTCCACTGGCCCACTACACTTAGCCCTCTTGATCCCTCTCTTTTCCAGGCCTTTCTGCAGGGCCTATGTTTTCTTCATAGCAGCCATAGCAGCTGTCAGGGTCATGCATGAAGGGAGAGGCCTCTGCCTGGGCTGGGGAAGGGAGCAGAAAGGTGGTGATGGGATGACCTGAGGGGCTATCTCTAGGCCACCATGCTGTCCCTGGAGTCTGAGTTGCAGCGGCTACAGGAGGTCAGTGGACACCAGCGAAAACGAATTGCTGAGGTGCTGAACGGGCTGATGAAGGACCTGAGTGAGTTCAGTGTCATCGTGGGCAACGGGGAGATTAAACTGGTGAGTGAAGAAAGAGGTAGCAGGCTTTCAGGTCATTCTTGTTCTGGGCACTGGTGGGAGATGCAAGGCAGAACAACCCAGGCCCTTGAGAAAGGCAGGCCGAAGATCCAAGAAACACACCCTCAAACTGGACACAGGAAAACAAGTAGAGGTTTGTACAGAATCAACTGAAAATACACCTTCTAAAGGCTGCTGAATAAAGGAGCAATGGAGATATGCTCAAAGCAGGATTTAGAGAAGGGGGCACAGATTTAGAAATGATATATGCAGATCTGTGGCAGTGATAATGGCCCATCTGGGTGATTAAGCGGAACAGTATGACTGCAAAAGAAAAACATATCACTTTATAAGATGGAAGCAAGTGACTGTCAGAATTGGATCTTTAAGTGCAGGTAGAGGGATATAATGTGAAATGCCAGGTGATAGAGAACTGCTAAAAGTTATTTGGAGAATACCTGTCGCACCTGAGTCTCTGTGTATGGGTGAGTGTGGGGATAGGCAGAGTGGAAGAGAATGGATAAAAGGTTTTCTGCAGCAGAGCACCTCTTCCCTCCCTTTCCCCCAACAGCCAGTGGAGATCAGTGGGGCCATTGAGGAGGAGTTTACCGTGGCCCGACTCTACATCAGCAAAATCAAATCGGAGGTCAAGTCTGTGGTCAAGCGGTGCCGGCAGCTGGAGAACCTCCAGGTTGAATGTCATCGCAAGATGGAAGTGACTGGGCGGGAGCTCTCATCTTGCCAGCTCCTCATCTCCCAGGTGAGTGCTGGAGGTTGAAAACCTTTGCACGCTGTGGGATAAGAGGGTGACTCTGTGGTTATGGGATAAAACTCCTAGCACCTACTTTTATGTCAAGGGCCTAGAGTCGACTGAAGTCAAAGACAGAAGAGCTTGGGGTAGCAGGGGAGAGTCTGGGCTAGAGAAATAAAGGTTTGGGGGGACATTGGCTTGTGAGCTGATGTGGTCTAAAGTAAAGGTCTCCGGAGGAATGGCCTAGACCCTGCATCCTCACGGAAGGCATGGCAGGAGGGGAGGGCCTGAGAGGAGAGCTGGAGTTTACAGAGGTCTGCACTGCCCAAAGTTGTATCCTTTGCTCCATCCATCTTCTTCCTCTCACCAATCCTTCCCTCACCAGCATGAGGCCAAGATCCGCTCACTTACAGAATACATGCAGAGCATGGAGCTCAAGAAACGGCACCTAGAAGAGTCCTATGACTCCCTGAGTGATGAATTGGCCAAGCTCCAGGCCCAGGGTGAGGCCTTCTTAAATCTCTAATCCACCCATCCTATGATCTGGGATCCCAGAGGGTGCATGGAGGGAAAGTGACAAACATCAAAAGAAACCACTGGACAGCACACTCACCCAAAGCATGAGACTAAAATCACGGAGACTAACTCATATGCTACTTAGCAAGCTTTTGCATGTAGCTTATTGTACACAATCAATTGTCCTCTGTCCCTGCTACATCATGTGGGGCTGTCCTATCCAGAAGCACATCCCTGTGGGCCAAATCTGGGTAGATGTCCCCTGCCTTCCCTGGAGCTCTGGTCACAAAGTGAAATTCTTCCTGGAAGAGGTAGATGTAATATATACTGTCTTCCCCTCTTTCTCTCAGAAACAGTACATGAAGTGGCCCTGAAGGACAAGGAGCCAGACACACAGGATGCAGACGAAATGAAGGTGAGTGGGGAAGGTATGGGGATAACCAGGGCCTGGCAGAACTGCGCTGGCCCTTGCTGAACTGGTGTTGGGGAGTCTGGCTTTGAGCTTGAGATGGCATTGTTTGCAGAAGGCCCTGGAGCTACAGATGGAGAGTCACCGGGAGGCCCACCACCGGCAGCTGGCCCGGCTCCGGGATGAGATCAACGAGAAGCAGAAGACCATCGATGAACTCAAAGAGTAAGAATTCCTGAGGGTGGCTCTGGTTTCCACTCAGTCCTTTCACTTTGCCATGCCCACTCAGATGATCCATCCCTCTTGGCCGAGGATCCAGTTCTTTAACTTCCATGTATCATTCCTCCAACAATAACATGATTTTGCAGTCCAGCTCCAGGAGGTATAAGGCATAAGAACTAATCCTAATCCTTGAGGCTCTTTTGATTAGATAGTTCAGAGTTTCTTACTTTGTCTTGGAAGCAGTGGCCTAAGCCTGTGATATCTGAAGGTAGAAGCATCAGTTCTAACTGGACTCACTTGTAAAAGAGGGAAAATGCTTGAGGAGCTGGTCTTCCCTTTCTTCATCATTCACATCTTTTTGTTCTCTCCAATATCTCCTTGCCCTCTGCAGCCTGAATCAGAAGCTCCAGTTAGAGCTAGAGAAGCTTCAGGCTGACTATGAGAAGCTGAAGAATGAAGAACATGAGAAGAGCACCAAACTCCAGGAGCTGACGTGAGTGATGGGTCCGCCTGCAGACCCACAGCCACATAGGCTCCAACTGCCACTCAGCCACACCTGCAGAGGCACGGTGCAGTGAAGATGTGAATATGGTGACCATAGGAAGCAATTCCTCAAAAGAATAATTTGATGGGTAGAGAAGGGGGCGGAAAAAAAAAGGAGACTTTCAGAAATAACCTCTGTTGAATATTAGCTGACATGGAAAGATGTTTGTTAAGTGTAAAACTCAGGTTACAAAAAAGTGTGAGTGTTACGATCCCATAAAATGCATATGGGATGTACATTCATAGAAAAAAAGAGTCTGGAAAGATGGACACGAGAATGTTCATGGTGGTTTGATCTGTAAGTAGTAAAATCATGGGCTTTTTATGAAACATGTCTTGCTTTTTTCTTCTTTCTATTCTGCACAGTGAAGACGGGTAACTTGTATAAGTAATAAAAATAAATAAATAAATAAAAGGAATGGAGGAGGGAGGAGAAAGGGAGGAAGGAGGGTCTTGAGAGATTCTTCTGTTTTCCCCTTCCTCCAGATTTCTGTACGAGCGACATGAGCAGTCCAAGCAGGACCTCAAGGGTCTGGAGGAGACAGTTGTGAGTTAACAGGGTGTGGGGACTTTATCTTTTCTTCCTGATTTCTTTCTAACCTCATTCCTCCTGTTCTCTGCAAAGTCAGTCTATGGCATAATCAGGCACACTTTTTTTCAAAGGATGAGTGACACTCACTTGACTAGACAGACTGAAGGTTCCAGTAATTTTGAAGTGGGAAGAGTGACCTGTTATTTGGCTATCCCAGTCTTTTATCATTCTTTCCAGGCCCGGGAACTCCAGACCCTCCACAACCTTCGCAAGCTGTTCGTTCAAGACGTCACGACTCGAGTCAAGAAAGTGAGTGCCACCCTCACTTGGGCTCTTCCCAGCCCCCATCTTGTCCTCCAGTTCTCAGGTTCTTCCAGCCCCTGGTCTGTGGGGCTGGCTGGCATGGGGCCTGTTCAGCTTCAGTACAACCACGTCTTTCCCTCTGTCTTTCATCAGAGTGCAGAAATGGAGCCCGAGGACAGTGGGGGGATTCACTCCCAAAAGCAGAAGATTTCCTTTCTTGAGAACAACCTGGAACAGCTTACAAAGGTTCACAAACAGGTAAGAGTGGGGGGAAGCGGTAAAGAGAACTCTCAAGGCCAGATGCCTGGGATACCAAATGCTCAGAGGCCCCCTGGATTTAGGGAAATCTACTTGCATGTTTTCCTTACTTTTCCCACTAATCCCTTCTTTATACCATATTTGGTTCCACTTTTACCTTGTTCTTTGTTCCATGCCTGTTTTCCCTTCTCAAAGCTCCCAACCTGCCTCTCTCTCAAAGTGGAATCCCCAGGCCTACATTGTTGGAGAGAGAGGTTGAAAGTGATTGGGAGTTCAGACGCATGGGGCTGCAACTATACCCGAGGATACTAGTCAGACTTTAGCCAGAGACATAAAGTAGACAGAAAGAAGCCAGGGAATTTGGGCTTTCTCTCATGGAGAGAACTCTCTGTTTAGGCCTGGGGCAGGCATGCAGGGAAATTCAATGATGTCCTCTAGATGGCCCAACCAGCCCCTGATTGGGGCCATGCAAAACTCCTGTGTATTAAGTTGCTGCCTCTCTGTCCCCCTCCTTGCTGCTGCGGTTTCTTAGGTGGATGACTGGGTTTCAAAGGTATGGGGCGGGGAGGTAGAAGGGGCAGTCCAAAGGAGTCTGGACAGGAAATGTTTGGTGCGGACAGAGCCAAATAGTTGAGACTTGAAGACAGATGCAACAGTCTGTCAACGGGCTCTTTTAACTAATTCAGAAGATAAACCCTAACCTATATTTCATTTCCTTCTTTTCAAATCCATCTTAAAATTTCACTTAAACTCATATTCTCGCCAAACTTGAGCTTAAACTTCTTTTCCTCCCAGTGCTCTGCCCAGCAGATATAGTAAATACTCAGTACATTTTTTTTTTTTTTTTGCTTTTTTTAATAATGAAAAAAATCCAGTGACAGCCTACAGAGTTTATTTTATTTAGGCCTGCAGAGGGCTTTACTGCTATCTCTAGAGGGGGCACTTTGCTTATATAAAACAGTGTAACAATATTATAGAAAAGTTGAAAGACATGAAAGAAACATTTGTAATCAGTTCTGCCATTCTTTTTCATTTCCATGTGTTCATTTTCCTTCTCTATCTAAATGCATGTTATATTGCTTTATTCCCCAATTTATTTTTATTGTGGTAAAGTACACATAACAAAATTTACCACCCTAATCATTTTTAAGTGTACAATTCTGTGGTATTAAATACACTTATAATGTTACGCAGTCATCACCACCATGCATCTTCAGAACTCTTTTCATTTTATAGAAATGAAACTCTGTACCCATTAAACACTAACTCTTCATTCCTCCCTCTCCTCAACCCCTGGCACTCATCATTCTACTTTCTGCCTCTATGATTTTGACTACTCTAACTACCTCACATAAGTGGAATAGCATACAGTATTTGTCCTTTGGTGACTGATTTATTTCACTTAGCATAATGTCCTCCGGGTTCACCCATGTTGTGGCATATGTCAGGAAATTACAGGCTATTCCCCACCCCCAACGCCTCACTGAAGCTTCTGCCTCTGCTCCAAGTCCCAAAGACCCAAAACTACTTACCTATAGGATAGATCCTCAAAATTTCCTACCGCAGCAGACGCGAGGCTAGAAAGGAAAATGAGAGAGATGTAGAAATTTCTCCATCAACAGAATCTTAAATAGCCAGGGCTACAGCCCCATTACTAATTAAGCTAAACAATTATCACAGCAAAACACTGTTTATAATCTGTAAATTGTCCAAAATTAAAGGGGCACAGAAGTGTTTCTAGCTCTGCCCTTTCTGCCACAGTTCCCAGCTACACTGATTTCCCTGATATCTTCCAAGGCCGGCTCCTTTGGCAATCTGTAGTGCTCCCAGTCATGTGTGAGACCCACCTAAAAAGATCAGGAGGTCTTTTCTGGCTGCAAGGTGGTTGCTATCACACTGTAGCTTAATTTAAATGGGGGAGGGACAGCCCAGGAAATCCTGGACTGTGAAGGTAATGAGCACAAATGTTTGTGAACCTCAAACATTTTCTTTCCTTCCTATGGGGCGTCGTTGTGTGTATGTGTGGGGGTTAGGGGTGAGTGGGGACTCCTGTATTCCAGCTTCTGCTCCTGCTCTGCACTGTACCTCACCTGCACTCAATGCCATATCCACCCTCCAAACTGCTACTGTGCTCTCGCTGCCCCGCCCCGTGCATGCCCATAAAGCTATCTCTGGGTGAGGGGTGCTTCATCCCCATGGTTGCCCTGGGGCTGTTGGTTTGGCATAAGCTGTGAGATATTGAGGGGGTTATGTCTAGGTCAGGAGGAGACTCGGACAGGGTGCTGTTACAAGAGTTCTGGGCTACAATGGAGTTGGCACATTTTGCTGCCCAGAAAAAAAATGTGACTTTTTAATGCCTGACCACCATTTGCTCAAGAAGAGGCAAAAAACTGGCTAAAACAGCACGTTAGGTAAAGGGAGTAAGGCTTTTCGAGGAAACAGCATGCATGGTCTCTGTCTTCTCTGACTCGATTTTTCTTTATTCTGTCTCCCCACCTGCATTCCCCATTCCACTGCTGGCTCTCTCTTGGGTCCCTTGCCTTTCTTTCCGCATCTTTCCCTGGGCTCACCCCACAGCTGGTACGTGACAATGCAGATCTGCGTTGTGAGCTTCCTAAATTGGAAAAACGACTTAGGGCTACGGCTGAGAGAGTTAAGGCCCTGGAGGGTGCACTGAAGGAAGCCAAGGAGGGCGCCATGAAGGACAAGCGCCGGTACCAGCAGGAGGTGGACCGCATCAAGGAGGCTGTTCGGTACAAGAGCTCTGGCAAGAGGGGCCATTCTGCTCAGATTGGTGAGTGGAGAGTGGATAGCAGTAGGCAAGGTGGAGTTACCACCTGGGGAAATTCAGCAAATTCCTACGTGTCAAGCAACTAGATCATTGCTTCTTATTCTACATGCCCCCCCCACCTCACCCTACCATCACCCCAAAAAAGTATAAAAATGAATTATAGGTGACTAGTTCAATTCTAGCTAAATGATTTCAGTGGACCAGGGCAACTGCAGGGTAACAAATAGCCTCCTCAGGGTCATTTTCTTTTCTTTACCACAGCCAAACCCGTCCGACCTGGCCACTACCCAGCATCTTCACCCACCAACCCCTATGGTACCCGAAGCCCTGAGTGCATCAGTTATACCAACAGCCTCTTCCAGAACTACCAGAATCTGTACCTGCAGCCTGCACCTAGCACCACCTCAGATATGTAGTGAGTGACCATGGGCATGGACTAGGTCCCGACCTAAGGCTCTCTGTACCCTATAAGGCATAAGGTTGGGTCAATTATTGGGTGAAACTTAATTATTTCCTAAGTAGCTTCATTAACTCTTTCTCAACTTCACATCTATGATTAGAAGGCTGCCTTCCCAGCTGCGACCATGTTTGTTGTTCTTCGTTCTCTGGCGGTGGGGGGAGGTGTATGGCTCCATTCCAGAGGGTGAGTGTGGATGAAGGTCCTTGGAATAGTGGGGGTAGGTGCCAAAGGCTGCATCTCTCTCCTCTGCTCCATCCAGCTTTGCAAACTCCTGTACCGGCAGTGGGACCATGTCTTCTGGCAGCCCCTTGGCTTCCTACCAGAAGGCCAACATGGACAATGGTAAGTGAAAAAGATGGGTCACCAGCCTTTGGGATCCCGAGGGCAAGTTGAAAAGTATAAGAAAAGTAAGTGACCCTGTACCTACAGGTTGAACACTGCCCGTCCCTTCAGGATCTTGGACTCTTAGAAGTAGATTCCTCCTATTACCATACCTGTCCCTACCGTTACCTTCCTTTCCTCAACTCTCCTTTGTGAGGGCTCAGGAAGGCTTTTTCTCAAATAAAATGATGTAGTATGGAGTGGTTGTAGATAGCGTGCCACAGACCCAGATGTAGCTATGCTTCGAAGAATCACCTTTCTTTCTTAAGGGATTAGGGTGAGAGAGGGGTTAGGAAGACTGTTTCTAACACCCAGTCCTTTTTTTTCTTCTAATCTTGTGTTCTCAATGATGATCTCTTCAGGAAACGCTACAGATATCAATGACAATAGGTACACCAAGTCATTACTGCTCCTGGGTTCTCTGGGTGGGACTGGAAGAAATGATTAAATTTCCCTCATGCCCTAGTTAAAGGTTCCCTGGGGCCTTGGGGGTTGGGGGGAAGGAAATGGAGAATTGGTCTTGCCATCACTGCCCTGCCTCATTGCAGAATACCGGCCCCTCCTCCAATCCCATCTGTGGCTTCTCCGTATTCTGGTGATGGGGCTGGGGGAATAATCTGATACCCTTGGTTTCTCTCCTACCTTGGAGAACTTTGTGATCTTGGGCAAGTCAGCTCCATCTCTGTGGCTTTGCTTTTCCCTGGATTCCTGTAAAACCTGAATAGTCCCTGCCCTTTATTATCTCATAGGAATGCTATGAAAGCGGAATGAGAGGAATGCTTTCATTTATACAGGGCTGACAATGCTGTGATTGTGGTGGGTCTCTTCTTCTAGGAGTGATCTGCCATGCGGCTATGAGGCTGAGGACCAGGCCAAGCTTTTCCCTCTCCACCAAGAGACTGCGGCCAGCTAATCTCCCACTGGACTGCTGCATACCTGCACTTTCAGGTAGCTTCAGGCCGATTCCTCTGACCAGCCTCAGGTTGCCTCCTTTCTTGCCCTCAGCCTATTTATTTCTCCCACTTTTATTTATCATCTCAAACCTTTTACTACTTAGCTGTCCCCCAACTCCTGTTTTCTCCGTCCTAGGAGCTACAGTCACACTGCCCCAGGTCCTCTTATCTCCCCTCCCCCCTTATGCTTTCCCTGCATCCCTAGTAGTAGCCACAGTACTGCCTTTCTGCCACTAGGGGTCACTGCCACATGTCAAAAGAAGTGAAAAAAGGCAAATGGATCCAGAGCCACCCTTAGGTCACAGGATGCATTAGATATTAGGAGACCTTGGGAGATCATCTCAATCCTCCCTCTGCCTCCACTATAAAATAATTTTGGATGGATAGGTATTTTCTAAGACATCTCCAGTAAAGGAGATGTTTGATTTATTTCTGTACCTGTGTCCTATACTCATTATATCTATATGTCACCAATAAGCTTTAGAAAGTGCTCGGGGTCTAACTTTTTGTTTCTCCAGGTGCATTGTCAGCACTCCTCTCTCATATTGCTCTGTGAGATGGAAAACAGCTGTGTTCTTACCTCCAAGCCTTCTCTACCTCTATCCCTAGGTCCTCTCCTCTAATAGCACAGGCACCTTTCTGGTTCTTGTGTGCCCACCAGACTTCTCACCATGGTTGCTTTAGGGCCAAGAAATGGGCACTGGGATCCAGTTTTTTTTTTTTTTTTTGGTCCACTTTGGATCTTTGGAGAACTAGAAATGAGAGAACTTGGCCAGTTTCTTACCGGGTTGCATCCAGCCGAGCCCTCTCCAGGGCTTTTCCAGAGTAGTAGGCCAGGCACAGACAAGCAAAAAGGCATGAGAAGCAAAGAAATAGGAATGGGGAAGGAGGAGTTAGGAAGATCTGGGGTAGAGGAGCAGGGGCTGGGAGGGTGGTGTCTGGTCGTTGGTATTAATGGAACAGGACTGTAAACCAAAGTATGTACAAATGTCACCCTGTTCCTTTTCAGTGGCTGGGCTGCAGGTGGTTCCTCACAACCTCTTTCTCTTTCTTCTCCAGTTTCTAAAAGGGACTGAGGCCTCTTCTCTCAGCATGCTGCAAACCTGTGGTCTCTGATGCTAACTCCTTCCCCAATCCTTGTTGTTTGACTGTATTGTTTGATGTCTTCTCTTACTCTGTATCTCTTTGTACTCTGTATCTATTTATCAAAAGCTGCTGCTATGTCTGTTTTACTCTCTAAGTATCTAATTATGTATTTAGCAATTTCTAAGCATAGTATACCCCTCCTCATTTGGGGCAATAGGGAGGAGGGCATATGTCTCTTCTTTCTCTCATATATACGTCTCTCACACTGCGTGGTGTTAGTCACGGAGATAAAAGGAAAAACGGGAGCTAGAGGGCTGTGATCCTTCACACACACACACACACACACACACACACACACACACACACGCACACACGCACACACATACACACAAAGCCTTAAGCAGAAGAATGTCTTAGCATCATAAGATACAGAAATAGACTCTTCCTTCCTCCTCTTTCACATATAGCACAGTAGAGGGTAAAATGGAAGGACTACTAAATTATATGGATTTTCTTCATACACCCCCCTCACTCAAACCAAGGGATTCCAGGTATGCATCTCTGCCCTCTGAAATCTGCCTTTTGCCTCCCTCTTCCTATTCCTCCTTGGATAACTGAGAACATGGCTTGCTCAAGGGATCACTTCTCTTTCTTCTCCAAACTCCTTTTAATAGTCTCAACCCCACAGCTAATGACCAGAACCTAGAGTTGCTTTAAAATATTTTGAAAAATTGAGGAGGCAGACCCTTCTAACAGTCTGTCAAATGGTTGCTCATCTGTCCATGGTATAATTATAAGCAAGGATAGTCAAATGATTGCTTCTTTGGGTTTGAGGTTAAACAGACTGGGAAGTTCCTAAGCATTTTTTGCCACATAAGCTGGATTCCTTGGGCTGCATGTTCTTCCCATTTCGACCTTTTGGTTTGGGGGTTTCCAGTTCACTGGTAAAATAGCTATCTTGAGATGCCTTCCTTTCAAGCTGGAGCCTGCCTTTTCCCCAATATACATTAAAAAAAAATTTTTTTCCACAAAAGAGTTCTTTCTATAACGTCCCCATCTCATAAGTGCACTTTAAAGAAAGGGCAGGGCAGATTTTCCTGAGGCGGAGGAGCCCGAGGGCTTGAACTAGGGGCTCTCTTTCCCCAGGCTCCCTACCCCTCATGTAATTGATAGGACTATGTTTTGGTTTGAGATGTCCTTTCCTTCCACATGGTGCTAAGGTGGCTTTCCAGGTAACCGCAGGGATGGAGAGTGGAGGTTACAAGCCAGTCTAAATCAAGAAAATCTGGTGTTCAGATATCCAGTTTTAGCTAGGATGGAAAAACAGGATCCCCCAGCAGCAGGGCAACCATCTCCTAACTTCTAAGTCAGGAAAGAAAGCTCAAGGACTGCCAGTTGGTTAATATAGGCTGTACTGGCCCAAGACTCTTTCAAGAAAAGTAGTCCCTTTTCCTTTGACCTGTTGGGCCCCTATTAGCAATTAAGGAGAAAAAAAAAATCCAAGGTAGTGATATTCAAACATTTTTCAAAACAAATCTTATAGAGAACCCTGATATAAGAAATAACTAAATGATGCAGACCTGAGCAGTTTGCATTTTTTTTATTTGATGGAAAATGCTTCTTTCATTGGGGAGTTCTTGAACAGTCCTAAGAGACCCTGAGGGTTCTGTAGAGTAGTTTGAAAACCACTGTTCTCAGGAAAGGGGTTCAATCTGACTTCCTTGTCCCAAGCTTGCAATTCATAGCAAAGAGGGCAAGGGTGAGTGGATGAGCCACACTGTCTCCAGACCCAGTCAGAGAGGAAGAAGATAACGTGTATACCTGTAGACTTGTGCTAATATTTACCAGGAGGACACTTAAGAATCCAGTGGGTTTTATGTAATCTTGCCACCAAATGATTCTTTTAAAAAATATAAGAAATTGTGAAGGTGTAGGGGCAGATGAGGAGAGAGGTGACCGAAGAAGCAGCCTTCTTTTTAGCAAGATGTAAGGGAAATATAATTCACTTACATAACTCAGAAATAACATACACACACAAAGCCTTCACCAGAAGGTTCACTCCACATCTTCCTCCTCCTCCTCCCCCTCCCCCACCGACACTCACCATATCCGTTTCAGAGAGCCAGGGTCACCACAGAGGGCACCTGGCTTGCCCACTCACATCTGCCAAAATGTTGCATGCTAGCGTGGAAGACAAACCAAACTGCACAAACCCCAGTGTGTATTTATTTGATGTACATAGATTATCTTTAAAATAAAATAAATTCAATGATGACTCTACAGTGTTGTAAATCTTTTCCCTCTCCATTCTCTCTTTTCCTTGCATATTATGGTATTTGACAGTGTGGTATATATCCTTCCAGGTATTCTTCTATCTATTTACACACAGGGGTTTTATTTTTTTTTTTCACTTGGCAATATATCCTGAGGAATTTTTTCATGCCAATATATATAGATATATCTCATTAAAATATAGATACATAGTTTCATGTAGTTATCCTATAAATTATTCAACCATTCCACTATTGGTGAACACTTATCTAGGTTGTTGGTAATTTTTAACAAAAAATGGTCTCATTTTTTTCCCAGACCATCACCTTAGTCCCAGCATCAATCCCCTCCTTCTCCAGTGCATCTCTATGCTGACTTTGCCAACAGCTCAAATCTCTTGTCCCAAAATCATCTACCACAATCACCGTCCTAACCCACATTTTAGAACATAACCCCTACCTATCTTCTCTGCTCTTACCTCAAAGCTGCTGAGATGAACGGAGAAAACCGCACGACCAAAACGCTTGGGCAATTAAAAACAAAGAGTCTGCAAACCTAACTGGACCTTCCGTGCTGCTTAACCTTCCTTCTGTGTATCCCTGCTGTTTCCTCTCCCACCCCCCAGGGCAATTGGTCTAAACCCTCACTCAAGACTCTGTCTCATCTTCCTCTCTTAGGCAATACTTTGTCTGCTTCAAAGGGAAAATCAAGGCAACTGAGGATGAAATTCTTCATCTCCCCACACATAGACCTACACACGCACATATATCTATATAGATCCTCTCCTTTGTCCTTTCTGACAAGCGCTAAATCCCCCTTTTCCAGGCCAAAGCAAGCCCCTTCTAGATCCTTCATTCTAGAGACACTCAGAACCCCCTATATATAAAATAACTAAAAGCAATGCAGAATTGGGCAGTATGTATCTTTTTTGTTAACTTCTGTATCAATTTCTTCTTTTCTCCTTGTAGGGTCTCCCTTAAAAGTCTCCCCATTTACTGTGTTTCTCTTTTAGTGACTCCCCATCTTGTTTTCTTACAAGATTTCCTGAAAAAGTCTCAGGCTTTCCATCCCCATTTCCTAAACTCCCACTCATTTCTAAGCCCACCTTGTTCTGACTCTTGTTCTGCTGAAAATGCTTTTCCAAAGGTCACTAGTTACCAAGTACAATGGGCAATTCTCTGTACTTGTCTTGCTTCACCTCTCCATGTTATTTGACAGTTCTCCACTCCTTCCTTCTTGAAACTAGACTCCCTTGGTTTCTGTGACCCTGCTATCCTGGTTTCTTCTCCAGCCACTCCCTCAATCTTCTCCCACCAGCTTCTTAAAAGCTGGTCTATACCAGGGTTCAGCCCTTGGTTCTTTCTTTGTTCTCTCTGGGAGATGTCATCCACACCCACAGATTCCACAACATTAATTAAATCTGTGTTCTCAGCACAGACCATTCTGCTGAGCTCGGGGCCCATGTGTCCAATTGTCCTCAGGTGCACCTAACGAGTTCCAAACTGAACTCATCTTTTCGCCAAAACTGCTCCTTTTCATGTCGCCACTGTCTTTCTTCACCTTAGCGAGAAGCCTGGGATTCATGCTGTGTTCCCCTTTCCCTCAAACCTCACATCACTAAGAATTTTCCAAACTGACATCAAACTTTACCTCTAGATGACATCCCCTTCTTTCCATCCCATCAGCCACTGTTTTAGTTCATCATCTCGTGCGTGCCTAGACTTTTGCAGTACTCCAGTCACCCTCTATAATGATGCAGAGTGGCCCTTCTAAAAGCACATATATTAAAACTACGTAAGCGTTCTCTTACTTCGTAAAGAAATGCTTTTGGGTTAGCCTCAGGCTGGCGGTTACTCCTAGAAACTGGGCAAAACCGGCAGGTGGCGACTTCGTAGCAAAGAAGCCCTCGACCAAGGAACGAAGCAGGCCAGCCCAGGCTGTAGCCCCTTTGCCTGGGTGACCAGCCAATGCCGCGCAATCTGCGCGCAGCCCTCAGGGCGCACAGCTTCCGGGCGCGCATGCCTGCGCCAGGTGAGCCCACCTACCGCACCAGCGCAGGGGCGGGCAGGCGCCGGGGGGCGGAGCCAGCCCCGCCCCACCCTGCTCGCGCGCCTGCGGGCCAGCCTCCGGTCACGTGACGGCGGCGCAGGTGAGCACCGCTTCCGGGGTCGGAAGCCCGGATAGCTCCCGGCTCCGACTTCCACTCAGTCGGGTACGCGGGAGACCATGGCGTCCTCCTCGGCTCCGCCGGCCACCGTACCGGCGACGACAGCGGCTCCCGGTCCAGGTTTCGGCTTCGCCTCCAAAACCAAGAAAAAGCATTTCGTGCAGCAGAAGGTGAAGGTGTTCCGGGCGGCTGACCCGCTGGTGGGCGTGTTCCTGTGGGGCGTAGCCCACTCGGTGAGACCCGGCCCTGGTACCCCCCGTAACCTTGTCCGAATCTTTGAACTCCTGCGCCTCCGGGCGTCCCTCTTTCCAGCCTCCTGTCTCCGGTGCCCCTCGCGCTGCCACTTTCCCCCTGGGCTGTCCTGTCCCCTGCTCACCAGCCCCCAGGTGTTCCACTAAGTCTCTCTTCTTGCTCTAAATTTTTTTTAATCGTAGATGTTTGTCTCTTTCTCTGCCCTTTACTCCTCCACTCTTCCACTTCAGGTAAGGAAGTTCCGCCTTCCTTACCTGAAATCCAGCTCCCTGCCTCCTTCCTGCCAGGTCCAGCCTCAGCCCCGGGCTATGGACCCGGCTCCAGCTGGAAGGACATTAGCGGGGGGTGGGGTGGGGGGTGGGGAGTGGCTCTTCTAGGTTGTTGTTGGTGCGATCTCTGGTGAGAGAGTATGTGGAAGGGGAGCAGGGAGGGTAGACGAATAAGGGGGTCTTTCACTTTCCACCTTACTTTCTAGCCGCTGCCCTTGACTTTGAGACCTTGGCTTTGGGGGAGGCTCCAGGCTCCCCAGACCTTCTAATCCTCCTTGTCCTTTAAGTTCCCTTCAGAGGTACAGCATTTCAGAGAAGCTACTTCACCCCGAGCCTAGTAGTTGCACTCACTCAGCCTGTGGTCTTAACTGCATCCCCGTCGTTGGCTGGAGTGATGGTGTTTGCTGTAAGTAGGGGTTATCTTTGACTAAAGGGATAGCTCAGGAGCTCTTGTCCTGCGGACATGATGGTGGAGAACTTTAGAAGCAGGAAACTGCTGTAGAGGGTGTGGCCTGGAAATCCAGAGAAGGCCAAAGAGGCCGTGCATCTCCTTTCCTGAGGATACCTCTGGTAGAGGAAGCACAGCTATTACCCGCTTCTCTTAGATCTGGAATGGGAGAGATGCAGTGACCTTGAATGTGATAGGCAATATTTTATAAATCAACTTCTTTGAATTGTTTTAGTTATGATAGGGTTGTATAGGTGGAAGGGAGTGAAGAAGAATAGTTTTTGTCACATTCTCAATTTGTGGTTTATAATGTTGTTTGTGGTCTGTCAACTCCCCTTTGTGTTTGTGGTTCTGTGAACTGTTCCCAGCTCCCTGGGTTTTACTGTCTTATTAGTGAGTACCCAGTCTAAGGCAGTTGTTATGGGTAAGGCTGATAGAGAGGGCTGCCTCTTATATATACCTTCCAGATGTCTCATCTGTCCTTTGGGAAGCTTAATAAGGAGGGTTTTCCTTTAGTAAGAATCGAGAGAATTACACATAAGACCTGCCTCAGCTTCCCTAGGAATATGTACTTTAGCTTTAACATCCCACCCTCCAGCCAACACACAATTCCTTCAAGTGTCTAAAATAGAGAAATTCCTTGAACATATGTCTTAGTGATGATTCAGCCTGCTTAACAGCAGATGAAGAGGAGGTATGAAGAATTATAGCTGAATTTTAGGTTGGGAATCTCAAGTGGCTTTTTTTTTTTTTTCTCCTGGAGGATTATGTTCTGTCCTCCTTTTCTACTGACAATGAGAGGAGCTGCAGAGTATTGGATTTAGGTTAGACTGTACTTCATAACCTCTGTTGAATGATCAAGTAGGCAAAACATCCATTTATTCAGTTAATAAACAATTCAGGACCACTATGTGCCAAATATTTTGCTAGCTAGGCACCTGAGAGACACAGGCGATTAGAACTAGTCCTTGCCCTGGAAGAGATCACAATCTAGATGGGGAACTTAACATAAACTAGTGCACTATCAAAGGTGGGTGAAAGATACTGTGGCAACATTGGGGGGAAAGCACATCTCCCTGAGGTTTCTTAGTACAGGAACTCCCTTTCCACCTTGAATTAGCAGGTTGCTGATACTGGGGGCTGAGGAGAGCATGTGATAACTTGCATCGTTTGGGTTGTGGGTTGGCTTGACTTTAGTGAACAGACACCTGATGAGGTCATATCCTCTGCCTGCCTGCATTCCCTCTGAAATCAGCTGCTTTCCTCTTACCTTACACCTGGGCAGCTGGAGACCTACTGCAGAGAACTGGGTCAGAGTGGTCTGGAAGGACTGGTCCTGTTTGTAAAGAGATGCTTCCTGCAGAATATGGACATTTCATTCTTGTTGCTTTTGACCCCTCAGAGTCTCATTAACTCTCTTGTATGCTTTAAGAATGCCTTTTGTTTTGTTTTTAATGGAGCGTGGAACTGTTTGTCTTGAGTGTCTTGAGTCTGCTGAGGGTAATTTTTTTTCTCTAGAATTTCTCACAGCTTTAAAAATAGTCCTGAGTTGCTTACAGGGTTTGCCTGATATAAAATAATTGTTGTGAACATGAAGTTCCATGGGGGTGGATGTGTGAGGGTTGCTTACTGCAGTCCTTTTTGGGCAGCAGAAGAGGTCAGACACATTCTCTCACCTCTGTCAAGCGAATGCATAACCAGTGTTTTTAAAGGAATGAGATTTGAGTTGCCTTTTTCTGGCTCTTTCCCAGACATAGTGTATGAATAGCTCTCTACACCCCTACTTACTGCTTTCCTATTCTTGTTTTGGCTTATCAGATCAATGAGCTCAGCCAGGTGCCTCCCCCGGTGATGCTGCTGCCAGATGACTTTAAGGCCAGCTCCAAGATCAAGGTTAACAATCACCTTTTCCACAGGTATGTGGGAATTCTTGCCCTTCTCACATCAACCTTCCTAGAAAAGAGTAAATAATTTTAAGAGTCAAGATTCAATGAGTTGAAGATAGATAGATAGATTGATTGATTGATTGATTTTTGCATTGACGTTTTTAATTATTGTGGATTTTTGAGACAGGCTCTTTGAGTTACTAAAGTATGCTATTTTTAAATTTCTGTTCAATTTTACATGAGCTATCCTAACTCACCTGGTTTACCTCCAAATGAGTTGAAGGTAGATTTAGAAGGCAACTTACAAGTTGTATTGTCTAACCTCCTTCTTAGTGCAGAAATTCAGTACTGTACAAAGAAACCATTAAAATAATTTTCAATGGACAGGCTCTTTGAGTTACTAAAGTATGCTATTTTTAAATTTCTGTTCAATTTTACATGAGCTATCCTAACTCACCTGGTTTACCTCCAAATGAGTTGAAGGTAGATTTAGAAGGCAACTTACAAGTTGTATTGTCTAACCTCCTTCTTAGTGCAGAAATTCAGTACTGTACAAAGAAACCATTAAAATAATTTTCAATGTGCCCCCTACTAGGAATTCCGTAGAGTAAATACATTTAGATGCCATTACCATTAGTTTCTGATAGGGACCCCTTGAAAAAAATGCTTGAGTCCCCAAAGCCAGGGGTCCCCAACCCCTGGGCCACAGATTGGTACAGGTCCATGGCCAGTTAGGAACCGGGCCGCACAGCAGGAGGTGAGCAGCAGGCAAGCTAGCGAAACTTCATCTGTATTTGCAGCTGCTTCCCAGCACTAGCATCACCGCCTCAGCTCTACTTCAGATCATCAGGCATTAGATTCTCATAGGAGCACCAGTCCCTGATGCCAAAAAGATTGGAGATCACTGCTCTCAGCCCTCCAAGATGGTACCATTCAAAACAGTAACACCTGTTGACACTTTTAAGATGTTTCTAACTTCTTGAGATTTGGGAAATGCTGTGTGGATGGGCAGTAAATTCTGGTCCTACTTCAGCCACTTACTAGTCCTGTGACTTAAGCAGGTCACTCAAGGACCCTGAGTCACAGCTTCCCCTTCTATAAAATGAGAATAATATACTTTTTAAAGGACCTCATAAGGATTTTATGAGAATCAAATAAGGTAATATGTGTAAAGGTGCTTTATAAACTGTCAAGCTGTATATAAATGTAAAATAATATTCTTACTTTGTTTTCTTACCTTGAAAACTTCCATTTCAGAGAAAATCTGCCCAGTCATTTCAAGTTCAAGGAGTATTGTCCGCAGGTCTTCAGAAACCTCCGTGATCGTTTTGGCATTGATGACCAGGATTACTTGGTGAGAGTCTTATGGGCTGAGGGTAGCCCTTTCTCTCTAACAACTGGGGAATCCCTGTGACAGTCTTGTTTTGAAGAATTAAGAACCTTGGCAAGGATGATTCTTTACATTTTTGTTGTCACAGGCATCTTCAACAACTGGTAAAGCTATAAACCCTATCGTTAGGGGGGAAAATGTAGATACGTTAAAAATTTTGTTCCACTTTCAGTCTACATATGGACACCAGATTAACAACCCTTGCTCAGCCTCTTATACCAGGATTTTATCCACTTTCAGACACGTTTAGTGGACCATTATCCTGCGACTTGTATCTCCACATAAAGGGGGAGGAAAAGAGCCTCTCACCTATTCTGTGTCCCCAGGTGTCCCTTACCCGAAGTCCTCCAAGTGAAAGTGAAGGCAGTGATGGCCGCTTCCTTATCTCCTATGATCGGACTCTGGTCATCAAAGAAGTATCCAGTGAGGACATTGCTGACATGCATAGCAACCTCTCCAACTACCACCAGGTCAGGCTTCTCTCCAGCCCCATGCTTTCTCTCCTCTCCCTACTCATAGCACAGTTGCTGGAGCACATAAGGAGACTTCCTATCCCTTTTCCTCTCTACAACCCATTTTTTCTCTCCAAGAAGCACTTGGCATCATGTTTCTGAAAAACAAGAAATTTCAACAAAAGAGCCTCTGCATACTTATTTGTGTTTGACTAAATAGAAGAATTTGGATGTGTTCCTTCTCATTTGATACTTAACAATCTAAAACCATTATGGATTGATACATAAAGGGCACAAGTATAACAAAGTGTAAACTATAGACTAAGTCAAAATTAAATGAAGTGTTAACACCGAATACACTGTCAGGAATAAATGCAGTTTGGGGAGAAACCCGGGATAAGTGCACAATTGAGATAAATTGGAGGGTAGAAGTCATGATCATATCCAGCCCTGAATTGGATTAGGAAAGCTGTTCTGTCTGATTAGATTAACCTGGCATGTGAAGTTTCTGGAATACTTTGGTTATAAAAACACTGCCTGCATATCTTTCTATGGAAGAAAAACCTCACTAAAATCAATGAGCAAGGAATAAATGAGAGACTCTAAAAAGAAGCTTTGGTTTATCCGACAAATACTGTCTATTATTACTATGCCCTATGTTAGGTGGTGGAGAAAGAAGTGAATGAAATGTTGTGGCCCTTGAGGACCTCTTGGCAGAGTCCAGGGAGCTAGCATTAGCACACAGTAAGATGTATGCTGCGGCAGAGGTAGAGGTAGGTTCGAAATGCTCTGGGGGTTCAGAGGAAGAGCATCCCAACTCACTAGGGGAAGGAGGTACATTTGGGAGGCACAAAGAGAGTATTTTAGAGGGAATATCACAGGAGTTGATTCTTGAAAGACTGGTAGGGCCTAACCATGGGGCAGTGTGGAAGAGAGCATTCCACGCAAAGAAAAACAGCACTTATAAAGGCACAGAAGCATGAGAGAGCTTGATGTTAAGGAACTACAAGAAATTCAGTGTGGCTAGGATATGTTATTGTGGAAAACTTATTAGGAAGAAGTCAGATTATGAAGGGTTATATAAACAACACAAAGAATTTGGACTTTATCCTGAAGGAGGTTTGCAGGGGGGTGATATGTATGCTATTTATAAATATCCCTGTGACAGCATTTTAGAGGATGGATAGGGAGGAGAGGGATATTGGGAGTGGAGATACCAGTTAGGAGGTAATTACAATAGTCTAGGTGAGGATAAGGGCCTGGAGGAGCAATGGCAATGAAGATGAAAGGAAAGACTTAGAGGAGAATTGTGAGAATTAAGGCAAAGGTGCCTTCGAATTCCTGGTTGGGGTTAACTGGGGGCCCATTCACCAACCATTGGGAAGCAGAAAAAGAAACAGGTTTTTGCAGGAAGACAGTTCTGATTTAGACATGTTGAGTTTGGGGTTTCTGCAGTTCATACAGATATCAATGTCCAGTAAGTGACTGGGGGAATGGACTTCAGGAAAGAGGATTAGAATAAGAGTCTAGATTTGAGAGTTATTGGTGAAGAGATTGCAATTAAAGCCGAGTATAGATAAGATTATTGAAGGAAAGTGTGGAGTGAAATGAAAAGAAGGTTGAGGACAGAACCTTAAGGAGCACCTAGAGAAAGAGCCCATAAAGAAGACTAAGAGTCAATGGACGCTTTTAATTATTTATGCCCTACTTTGTTCCATACAGGATTTGAAGATAGAGAGGAGGGGAATCAGAAAAGGGGTCTAATAGGAGCTGAGGGTGAAGAGAGTTTCAAGGAGAGACTGGTTAGTAGTATCAGTTGCTATATGACAATGACTAGATACTCATTGGATTTGTCAGCTGAAGGATTTCGGGGAGGGAGGAGTAGAGAGATTTCAGAGGAGAAATGCAAATGTAAGTCTCATTTTACTGGTTTGAGGTATAAATAAGAGAAAGTGAATTGATTGCTAACTACTTTTCTGAGAAGGTCGGCTATGAAGAGAAGTAGGCAGCAATACTGAGAGAGATAGTAGCATTGAAATAGGAATAATTTTTTAAGAATCCAAGTGATAGGCCATCTTGCAAACATTTTTACTAAGGGAATCAAATCTAGCCCACCAGGAAACATTGGTCTAGATAAAATCAGTTCATTGATAAACAGATATCATTTCTAGTCCTGGTTCTGTGACCATTTGTATATAAAGAGGGTCTAAATTAAGGATAATACCTACGTTCCCATTCCCCATCTCAAAAAAATGATAAAAGATGATAAATATGAAATGTGAAAAGACATTTTAAAATGGAGACATTATGTAAATGAATTAATCAGAGATGAGGGTTCAGAAACTGCAGGGATAACCAGAGGAATCTTTAGAAAGCTCTTACCACTTTTGATCTTCTCGTAACCTCTCTTCTTGAAGTTTTCTGCCTACTCTGGAATGGTAATGTTTGACTGTCCATCCCTGGGCTGTTTGTGTATCTGCTGCTCAGCCTCACTCCATTGCTTCCTCCCTTCCACCCCAGTACATTGTGAAGTGCCATGGCAGCACGCTGCTGCCCCAGTTCCTGGGGATGTACCGGGTTAGCGTGGACAATGAAGACAGCTACATGCTTGTGATGCGCAACATGTTTAGCCACCGTCTTCCTGTGCACAGGAAGTATGATCTCAAGGTAAGGAGAAGATAGCTATGGTGGAGGGGGAAGGTGCTGTTTGCCTGAGAATGGGGAAGGGACCAGGAAGGCACTGGATGATTCATTTTAAAGGAAAGAAGGCTATGAGTTTGAGTACTCATCTTAGGAGCTAGATCTTGACTGTTCGTTACGCCAGTTCTGCTGATTTTGTTTTTGGGTCTCTCCACAGGGCTCTCTAGTGTCCCGGGAAGCCAGCGATAAGGAAAAGGTGATATTAACTTTAGGGCAAGGGATGGGGAAGGCAGCTGAAAGGGATCTTCTTAGGATAAAGAGGCAGGGATTACTAGGTATTTATTCTTATGTTAAACCCCTGACAAGAAGAGAGGTGTAAACTTGTACCAATCCAGGGATTGTGTGGGTGGGATAGTGGGAACAGCTGCTTTGTAACTGGCATGGGTTTTCCATTTGGAAGGTTTATGGATGGGTGAGGATGTCAGACTTGAAGAACAAAATGCTTACCTTCCACCTCCCACTCTGGGCTCTCCTATTCAAGCAGCTATTTTTGCTTAAGAAGAAGAAAGAAAAGTCAAGAGGACCTTGACAGAAAGCATAAGCAGAAAGTAGTGGAGTGTGATTTGGGGTACAGCACAGTGCCTGAGTCTGGGGAAGCCACTGGAAATAAGAACAGACTTGGGCAGCATTCCAGTGTGGAGTCAGATGAGAGACAGGATGTAAGATCTCACTCCTAGAAGCCACTGAGTTGGAGACAGAGCCCTAGATAGAACAGTGTTTTCAGACCTTGAGGGAAGGAGTATATTCCCAAGATGTCCCTTTACCTATTCTCAGGTTAAAGAATTGCCCACCCTTAAGGATATGGACTTTCTCAACAAGAACCAGAAAGTTTACATTGGGGAAGAGGAGAAGAAAGTATTTCTAGAGAAGCTAAAGAGAGATGTGGAGGTGATGATTGGGGTGCTTGGGGAAGTGGCTTTGTTTCATTTGCTCCCCTCTGGGCTTTTGTCTCTCCTTCACAATATGAAGGAACTTCTCCCCTTCCCTTTATTATTTGGGTTCTCTGCATGTGGGGGAGTTGGGTATGAGACATGGAAACCCCCTAGCGGTGACTCATGGAGGGGGTGGCTGGATGAGCTAAAAGGATCATATTAGACACTAGGACATTTAGGTACCAGAAGATGTTGGTATATTCCCAACCCTCAATTTTTACACATCCTCTCCCCAGGAGAGTTCCAGAAATTCGGGTGGAAGTATAAGGGTGGTACCTGGGAGTGGAGACGGAGATCTGGGTGTCTGATTTATCCGTGGGTCTCAGTTCCTAGTACAGCTGAAGATCATGGACTACAGCCTTCTGCTGGGCATCCATGACATCGTTCGGGGCTCTGAACCAGAGGAGGAGGGGCCTGTGCGGGAGGAGGAATCCTCCGAGGGGGATGGGGACTGTGGCCTGACTGGACCTCCTGCTCTGGTGGGCTCCTATGGCACCTCTCCTGAGGGTATCGGTGGCTACATCCATTCCCATCGGCCCCTGGGCCCTGGAGAGTTTGAATCCTTCATCGATGTCTACGCCATCCGGAGTGCTGAGGGTGAGAGAGATCCTGGAAATTTTAAGGGTGGGGAGTGTAGTTCTTAGGGGACAGAGACCAGGGTGGTGGGTGGAGAGCCTGGTTAACTTTTCAGAACAGATCTGACTGGTTCCTGGGGAGAAGAAATTGGGACTATACTTGCTCTTCATTGCTCGTCATTACTCTCCCCAGGGGCCCCCCAGAAGGAGGTGTATTTCATGGGCCTCATTGACATCCTGACACAGTATGATGCCAAGAAGAAAGCAGCTCATGCAGCCAAAACTGTCAAGCATGGGGTGAGGGTTCCCTAGGGGCTTTCCTTTCCTGTCTTGACTATTCTTTGAGAAGACAGCCTCTTGTGCCAGAGCAATGGGCTGGCAAAAGGATCAAGGGTTGGGTATGGTAATGATGTGGAGTGGAATGGAGGTCGGGGAACGGGGAAGAGTGATGGTTTGGCCTGACACTATGTTCCATATCTCTTCTCACAGGCTGGGGCAGAGATCTCTACTGTCCATCCTGAGCAATATGCTAAGCGATTCCTGGATTTTATTACCAACATCTTTGCCTAAGAGACTCTGGTGACTGCTGCTTAATGTTCAGTGTGGTAGGGTTCTGAGAGGCTTGGGGGAATTGTGGATATTCTAGCCACTACTTCTCTTCCTCTTTGCTAAATTCAGGCTATAGGCTCCTTCCATCTAGATAACTCCATCTTGTTGAGTAGGCTCTCTTGGCCCTCAGAAATACATCATCCTTTCTCTCCTTTGTCCAGTTTTCTTCCTCTTCCTCCTCTCCAGGAATTCCCCTTGCTTCATTAGAGTGTTTATGTTGACTCTTTCCAAGTGCCTTGATCTTTGTAAAATGTCCTGTTGTTTCTATAACATAGGAGGAGCTAGGGGAAGGGGGTTGTTTGCCATCATCAGCACCCGACTGGACAGATGGACCTGGCTCAAGCAACTACTCTGGATGCACTTTGCTGCGTGGGATGGACTAAGAGTGTCTGAATTTTGCTGATAACTGTATAGAACTCACTGTGGCATGCTTCCTTCCAGTAGGCCCTGGGATGGAAGACTCAAGATACTACGGATGTGGGTGCGGGAATGCACACATACGATGAGACATGCCAGTCTTACATGGAAGGGGGTGGAGAGAGGTCAGCAGGCTGGGCCCTCACGGAGGTGGACTCATGTGATTATGCAGGGAACTGGAGGTCTCCATCAAGGATTAACGACTCTCCAATCTCTTGCCTCACCCGACTTCCACCCTCTATCCCTGTACTTCTGGGTGCAGGAGTCCAGAAACGGATAACCAAAAAGTGTTCAAGCCAGGGTGAAGGTGTTTGGCTGTTGCTGCTCTTCCCCAGGACCTAATATCCCTCCTGGTGCTGGAACCTTTCAGTGTGGATATGGCCATTTCTTGAGGCTAGGATAATGGGCCAGGGTTATAAGGTTCATCCCCACATTAAATTTCCTTTCTTCATGTCTAGCCATCCCTGAGGTTTTATTCTCAGAAGGGAATAGCTCTATCTGGGTCAACACTGGTCATTTCAAGAGGATGGAGGTCTCAAATATGGGAACCTATTCTACCCCCCAAGATGTGTGTACCTAGCGTACATCCCGCATTCATTCTCAAACCCTTTTCCCCGTTGATTTTATTATTCTGTTTTCTTCTGTCCTGTCTATACTGCTACTTTGTCATCTTCACTCTCCACCCCCCAGAGAGGAGTCAGAGCCATAACTCAATCACCTGGCCTTTTCCAAAGATAATCGAGTTGATGTGTGATATTCTCAGTATAGAGCAGAGAGGAGTCAGAGCCATAACTCAATCAATCACCTGGCCTTTTCCAAAGATAATTGAGTTGATGTGTGATATTCTCAATATAGAGGACTGTGATGACCCCAGGTAGCATCCTCCCCTCCTGCCAATGCCTTTAGGGCTAATGCAGCCATTCTTGCTATCTTCCATACCCCTGAAGGCTTCTACTTTTTTTTTTTTTAAAACACAAAGATGGGCACCAGCAGCTGGCCTGTGGGGATGCAGAGATTCTTTGCTCTGTATCTGGCTGGACTGATCTGACTCACAAGAAGTCATGAGATCATAAAGAAGAATTCCTTTCTCTCCTCCATCTTCTGCTCCAAAGGAAGTAACAAGAAGAGTCCCCAGTTAAAAACTGGCACCCCTATGATACCTTTCCATCTGGAGCCTGATGGATCTTTTTCATTCCAACCGTCTACCTTTCCCCTGTTGGATGCAATAAAACTCCATGACACCAGCAACTGTTCTTTAGGAATGGGTTTTCTAACTACGTGGCTGATGTATCATGAGCAGTATTTCAGGCCTTCATTTGTTGCTTCTGATTTTCATCATCTTTCTTTTATTAATTAATAGAAAAGATCTTGTGTATTTACCCCCATTGCTGTAACTATATAGAAATTAAATTATTGAACCCAAGTGCCTCTATTTTTTTCACTTTTCTGAAGAAGCATGTTTTTAGGGGTACAGGGACCAGATGAATTCTGATCTGTAAGGCGTTGGGCCCCTAACTAAGGGTGTGGGTTTCTAGATAGATGGCTGTGAACTTAAAAGTTTGTGAAGGTTGTACATGAGAATGAAAACTTACTCTCCAACTTTGTGGGCCTTCAGCTATAGAGGGCCCAGGGAGAACTGAGAAGATGTGACCCTCCCTCTTTCCCCCAGGGTTCTGGGCTTGGTCACACCCCCAACTCTGTAAAGGTGACTGAGTCTCTCAACCCAGGAACTAAAATAGAAGGAATTTCAGTGTTTCTCCAGGCTTCTTGGGAAAGATGTCTTCTGCCTGGAGGTCAAGAAGAGTACAGCAGGGTCCTGGGAAAGAGAAGAAAGTGACCAACCCTCCAGCCCAGAAAGGGAGTGAAGAGGCGGGGTGGACAGACAGAGGTTGTTGCCAGTTTAAGAGATCCAGTATTGCTTGGCCAGGGAGGTCTTGGCTGGTGGAAAAACCTGGCTTGATGTGGCCCCAGGGAAGTGAGTTGGACTGGAGGCGGAGATTGCTCATGTGGGAAGCAGAACTGAGCAGAGTTTTTTTTCGTTAACTCTATTTGAACCGTAGACACCACCACCACCCCAAGACACTTGTTAAACACATTCACTTCCCATTCTGCACCAACCTCAGTATCCCCGTTTGTAGAAAGCGATCAGAGGCACTTACCATACCCATCTGGGGGCGGGTCGTGGAGGTCACAGAAGGTAACAATCTAGGAAAAGGCAAAAGATGAGGGAGGGGATTTAAATAGTTTAGTCCTGGGGTTTATTTTTTAGATCCAATGCTTTGCTTTTCACTATGACTCTTCCCATCCCATATTATTCCTCAAAGGCCCTTCTAGCACAAGGATCACAAAAATTGTCCCCTCCTCCCCATCTACCTACCCCGACACTACTCACGAGCTACCAAAATCTGCCACGCAAAAGAAGAGGGCTCCTCCGGCAGCGAGAAAGGTGGCATCGCTAAAGGATTTAACCTCCTACTTTCAGTTCCACGACGCCACACCCTCCCTCCAGACTGGGAGGGTGCCTCCATTTTTGTTTGGGGGTGGAAGGGCAGGGGCTCGTGAATAGAAGAGGTCAAAGGAAACAGTGATTGTCACCTGGGAGGGGGAAGGGGGTGCAGTCCTCCTTCCCGTTCCCTCAGTCTGCATCCCTTGCATACTACCCCCCACCTTCTCGGGGTCTCCCCCCCTCCTTGTTGCTAAGGCCCAGGCCGTCATCCCAGCAACAGCCTCAGTCATGTGACCGGCAATGGCGGCGCTGACGAGAGGTAGGTGAGCCCGGCGCCCCCCATACCCACGGTGCACCCCCCGGACCCTGCTCGCACCCCCCTACACGTTCTCTCGCTGCCTGTGTGCCCCCTCCTCCTCCTCTTTGCTCCGCGCGCGGCACCGAGGGGCCCCCATCCACGCCTGGCGGATCCTCTTTCTGTCATCCTCCAGCCTTGGCCTCCATTTGGGGGTTCTGGGGACCGCGATCAGGCCGACAAGCACCCACACCCAGGAGTTGGGCTCCAGGGGTTCCGCGAGAGGGGGATGTGGGGAGTTGGTTCCGGGTCGGGTCTTGCAGGAGGTCATGGGGGGAGGGGTGAAGCAGCCTCAGTGGATGCCCCCAGGGACCCTTGCCCTTCCTGGCTGCCCCTGCCGCCAGTCTAAGTCTGGAGGAAGGGACTGGCCCCGTGTCCAGCCTGAGTAGCCCCAGAGGAATCAAGAGACCCAGCATAAACTGTGGCCCCGCCTCCCTTTTCTGTGCCAGCAGGACTTGGAGCTAAGGACGCCTAGGTCCTGGGTTCCCTCTGATGGGGGTTGGGGGGTGTTTCACTTAGATACAGTATGAACTGAGGCTCTAGGGTTCCAGTTTCACTTTCTGAATCTCCAGGTGCATCTGGCCTTGAAGGGACTATGATGGAGGCACAAATGGAGAGCCACTCCCCTTGGGATCAGTCAAGGAATTGAGGTCACCCTAATGGGTCCTCTTTCTATTTGAGCTGCATTTGGAGGTGTAGTAGAGACACCTTTGTAGCTGAACATGGCAAGACTCAGGGGAAACCTCAGACTCCTCCAGTGGATCCCCTGTGTGAGCCCACCCCTTCCTAAATGCAGACTAGGTTGCTGACAGGCTTGCACGTGTGTGCTGGGTTTAAAAGGTGACAGTGAGAACTTTGTTATTGTAGGGCCTGCTGCCACTTAGTTTGCATTCCAGACTTCAGCAGAAGGGACTGGGTTAGCTCTCAAGGAAGACTCCCCAGCAACAGAGTCTGAATTATCTGGGAATGTGGAGCAGGGTGAGCAGTTGGGGAGCACAAGAAATATTCTTGTCTATGTGACCTGAGGGAGGTGGCAAGAAAGACCTCCATCTGTGTGGGCTTTTCCCTTCCTGACTTCTCTTATCTGTGCCCTAGGCTTTCTTGAGAGCCTCAGTGCTGGGGAAGAAAAAAGGAAAGTTAGCATGTTGAAATTCCTTCTTTAGCAACTTGGGAAAAGGCTGGGAATAGAATTCTACAGGCGAGGAGAGGAGATGGAAGAGGAGTTTTTGTTTTGTTTCTGGGCTGACTGGGGAAAATAGTAATATTTGTTATCGTAACCCTTTACCCTCCCCCCTTTCCCCAGTCCTGGTCAGCTGAGTGTGGAAATAGAGGGATTTCTGCTGCTATCATCGTCCATGGGCTTTCCAGGTATCTGTCTCCCAAGGGAACCTCAACCGGCACCTTTAAATTGGTTTCCTCCATTCTATGTTCCAAGTAACCCCATACCCAGTAATTTATATACAGGTTCCCTTCTCTGTTATGTGGGCTGCTGGGTTGGGGCATGTGGGAATGAGGGAGGGGTTTCTCACTTACCCTCTTTTCCTGTCCACCTGCCAGGTCACACCACCTACAAGTAGAGAGCAGGGACAGAGAGAGAGCCTGCATGCCATTTCTAAGCTCTTCAGGATCAAAGTGAGCAAAAAGAAGGGTCAAAAAGTCTCCCTTTCTTTTATAGAACCCAGTTTTCACAGGGGTGGGGGGCAGATTACTTCCATGATCTTGGGAGGAGTGGAAGGAGCACCAAAACTAATGTTTGGCTTAGATGAGAATAATAATGTTAGAGAAACTTCAGTGAGTGCTGGGGTTTGAAAGAGAAGAGATAGAAAATGAACTTGGGGGAAGAGCTGGGGGTTGGACTTTGAGAGAGTAGAGGTTGGAAAGAAACCTGAAGTAGGAGGCACTGATATTTGTCAAATGGGGACCCCACACCCTGAGTCCCTTTCACCCTGGGGGCAGTGTCGTTCGTCCTGTCCAGAATGGCAGCCTGTGGAGGCACCTGCAAGAACAAAGTGACTGTCTCCAAGCCTGTGTGGGACTTCCTGAGCAAGGAGACCCCAGCCCGGCTGGCCCGGCTTCGGGAGGAGCATCGTGTATCCATCCTCATAGATGGCGAGACTTCTGACATCTATGTTCTCCAGCTTTCCCCGCAGGGCCCTCCCCCGGGTCCTCCCAATGGGCTCTACCTGGCCCGGAAGGCTCTCAAGGGGCTGCTAAAAGAGGCAGAGAAAGAGCTGAAGAAAGCTCAGAGGCAGGGGGAGCTTATGGGCTGCCTGGCTTTGGGGGGTGGGGGGGAGCACCCTGAGCTGCACCGCCCAGGCCCACCCCCTCTCCGAGCAGCCCCGCTCCTGCCCCCAGGGGCACGGGGTCTTCCACCCCCTCCTCCTCCTCTGCCCCCTCCTCTTCCTCCCCGCCTTCGGGAGGAGGCAGAAGAGCAGGAGAGCACCTGCCCCATCTGTCTGGGGGAGATCCAGAATGCCAAAACATTGGAGAAGTGTCGGCACTCTTTCTGCGAAGGCTGCATCACCCGGGCCCTACAGGTGAAAAAGGCCTGCCCCATGTGTGGCCGCTTCTATGGGCAGCTGGTGGGCAACCAGCCCCAGAATGGGCGGATGCTGGTCTCTAAGGACGCCACACTCCTACTGCCCAGCTATGAGAAGTATGGCACCATCGTCATCCAGTATGTCTTCCCACCCGGTGTCCAGGGGGTAAGGAGACTACAGCCTGCCCTTACCTTTTGGTTTTTACCAGGAGCTCATTCTCTGACCTAGGAAAGCTGGGGGGAGGGTGAGTGTGTTAGATGTGATGCAGTCTTGCTGTTTCTCAGTAGCCCTTGAGCTAGCAGGTCCCTGTGAGACCCAACTTTTCCATCTCCACAACCCCAAGACACACATGAAAATCAGATGAGAGAAAGGAATTGAATACTATTTCCTAGATGAACTTGGATATCGACAGCTATTCTTGGCAGTGGTGAATTCTGTGGAGATGATGGCTCAGGTGCAGACAGGTGCAGCAAGAAGGGATCTGACCCTCCTAACAGAGCTGGGAGTGTTACTCCATTCCAGATTTATGAGAGGAAAATTTTGGTGACAATGAAAGGTTAAAACAGGAGTGGTCAAAGCGCCTACACGTGTCTTTCTGTTTGAAAGAATAATTTCCAGTTCTGCTTTGCAGAGGGATGAGAAAGCTCCGAAGAAGAGTAATAGAAAAATGAAACAGATTAGACAGTGGAAGAAGCATTGGGAGTGTTTTCAGGTGGAGAAGGGAAGGCTGAAAGATAAATTATTCTCAGTCTTCACATTTCTGCTGAGTTATCTGGAGAATAAGGACCAGCTACCTTCCATCACTTCTGAGAATTCATTTGTTGCTGGATTGAGACTTGAGAGGTTGAGATGGGGAGAAGGAACCTCTTAACAATAGGATTTTGTCCAGAAACAGGCTCCTGCTGCCCAGACCTCAGAGGCTCTACTTCCCTGAAAGGCTGTCAGCCTGTTGCTGCCCTGTCAGCATTAGCTGGAGGTGCACAGACAAAAGGCTGGTCAGGATGACCCCCTATTGGCATCATGGCCTTAAGATGCCCAGCCGCTCACTGCCCACTTTGCTTCCCCCTTCTCCCAGGCTGAACACCCAAACCCAGGGGTCCGGTATCCTGGCACCACAAGGGTGGCCTACCTCCCGGACTGCCCTGAGGGCAACAAGGTGCTGACCCTGTTCCGCAAGGCATTTGACCAGCGTCTCACCTTCACTATTGGCACGTCCATGACCACAGGGAGACCAAATGTCATCACCTGGAACGACATCCACCACAAGACCAGCTGCACAGGGGGACCCCAGCTGTGAGATATTCCTTCATTTCTCTTCCCTTGGCTCCTCCCCTTCTGTCCATTTCCACTGAGGGAACATCAGCCCCTCTTTCTGGGAGCCTCCTAACTGGAGAGAACCACCCTCAAACGATTCAACTGTCTCTTCCATCCCAGGTTTCTCCTATATTCTACCTGGCCCTGATACGTCCAGCTTAACCTACAGAAATGAGCAGAATTAGGCTAAATTATCTTGGGTTTGAATTACCTTAGGGGAGGTGGAGAGGGGCCACAATGGGGCACCCAGAATGAGGGTGAGCATGGGAGTAATGCGAGTAAAGCCAAACAGCTAACCCTGACCCTCATTTCTTTGCTCCCAGGTTTGGGTACCCGGACCCCACCTACCTGACCCGAGTGCAAGAGGAGCTGAGAGCCAAGGGTATCACAGATGACTGAAGGACATCCCCTTTGCCAAGGCCCCTGCCTTTCTCCTCCACTAGGACCCAACGGAAGCCTCTGTTCTCCTCTCTCCTTCTGCCCCCCACATCCCAGGAGTAGGGGACCTGACTGACTGGGGAAGGAGTTCAGAGAGGGAGGGGGCAAGCCCTTCCCCTGTCCCCCACAGGCCAAGTGCTTCAGTGCAGTGTGAGCCACTCCCTTCTGGCAGAGGCTGATCTCAAGGCTCTGCTCTCCTCATCCCCTGTACATACTCCCAGTCCTCCTGCCCCCTCCATTGCCCTTGTCTTTTTCTGGTATGTGCTGTGCTCCAGTGACTAAGCTGAGAAAGGACCTGGGTGGGGAGGAGAGGGTCTCTTGAACACCCACCCCACCACCACCACTGCTCCACTGCCGAACTTTGGAGGAGGGGAGGGCAATTTGGTTGGTGTGCGCCCCGTGGAGCCGGCCCTGTGTGTTCTTCAGAAGCAATTCTCCATCTACCTTGACCTTGTCCTTTCCTGTGTCTCTGTTCCTGTCAGTCTGTCTTTATTCCGCTCTTCTCTGCCCCCCTATAAGGAGCCTCCTTTACCCTGTTCTGGAATTGCCGCCAGACTGTAGCTTTTAATTTAATAAAAATAAAGTAAAATATGCAACTCTCCATGCTACACCCATTCTGTTCTGTGGACGGGGTGGGGGTGGGGTGGGGTGGGGAGGAGGACCTGCTGATAAGGGGAAGGGGATGATGATCCGGAAATCCCACTGGGCCTCCCCGGTCTCTCTGCCTGCAGAGGTCCTGGGGAAACACATGTACTTAGTGGGCTCCATAATAACACTGCGAAGCCTCAGGTCACGCTTCAACGTTGGAATAGGGATTAACAGGGGTTTGTTGTTGAAATACAGTTGTAAGACGGAACAAGCCTACCCCTTTTGAAAAGTTTGGCTGGGGTGGGAGTGGGGGCGGAGCCGGGCAGGGGGCGGATTCTGCAGTAGCAACTCCCCGGACGCACGCAGGCCTCAGAGCCCCCCAGTTTCCGTGCCCCCTCGGCCCTGAAACTTGGAGCTGGGTAGGGGTCCAGCATGAAGCCCCCGGACCGCCCCGTCCCTGGCCGCACTGACCGGATACTGGGGGTCATGGGGGGCATGCTACGCGCATGCGCCCTACCTGGGCAGGAGGGGGTAAGAAAGAGCGACTTTGGTGGGATTCGGGGTTCTTCTGGGGGCTTCAGGAGGGCTGCATCCCGTAACTCAATTTACTTGCACCCTGCAAAAAGAAATTCTGCAGGGCACTTGCAGGAATCCAAGAGTTCCATTAAGAGGTCTATAGCCACGTATTGGGTGAACCGTTCTCTCCATTCCAGCCTTGGCGACCCCTTTATAACACTGTGGATTTTGACAGCAGGAGGAAGGGGGAGTTCAAGGCTGGGCCTAGAGGGCAGGTTCCCTACTGTCTTTCTATCCCCCGCAGCCCCCGCAGAGAAGCCCTTTAGGGCCGCAGGGGACCGAGCCCGAGTCTGCCTGTACCGAGGGGGATAAGAGAGGGGAGAGCGAACGTGAGGCCCCCGCTTGGGCCCCGCTGCCCGGTAAGAAGCTGGCGATGGGGTGGGGCACAATTTGTCCTCCTGCGCAAAGTGGCGAATTCAAAAAAAATGCTCATATTAGCATAAAGGTTCTCCTCTAATTTGCATGAAAACTATTTAATCGCTGAGACCTCCACGCTTCTCGCCCTCTAGTCCTGTATCTGTTCCCCACTCAGCGGGTCCCGAGCCCCTGCAGGCGGATTGTCCCCGCGCCCCACCCCTGGCCCCTCGCCAGCCCAGGCTCCAGGACTTCGCCTTAATTGGTGATTAGCTTCAGCTGGAGTCCCGGGGCCTGGCGGAAAGAAGGGTCTGGCGAGAGAGCGGCACCTGGACTGTGCTCCCCCCAAAGAGCTCCCTATTCACGCACCCCTTTTGGGAGTCATTGTCCACCCTTGCGCGGCTAGGGACAGTCTCAACCCCAGGACATCTTCGCACAGGCCAAGGCCGCATCTACGCGGCCCTTCACCACAGAGGTCGAGGAGCGACTCGGGCAGACCCTCGCCGCCCGGCTTAACCCCCGCACCCCAGCGTTCCGCAGTCAGAGCCCAAGATGCGGGAGGGAGGAGGAACCCAGAACGGGGGAGTCCAGGCTGCAGAGGAGGGGCCGAGGCGCTGGGGACGTGGAGTGGGAACTTGGTGGTGCCTGGGGGAGGGAGAATTGGGGCGGGAACCTGGCGCTGGCAGAAGGGAGAACTGGAGGGAGAGGGCGGAGCTGGGCTGCAGAGGCCCCTCCCCGCAGCAGGACCGCGGTGGGGCCTGTTATTCAGCTAGCCGCTCGGCTGGGACCCGCGCAGCGCCAGTGATTCCGGGAGTCGGCACCCGCCTCCTCCCCTGCCCGGGCCTAGAACCAACCCCCAACCAGAGAGGCCGGAGACAGCTGGAGCGGCTACCGCATCCCGGCCCAGCCTCCCCCACCACCCTTCCCCTCCCCGCTGGACATCTGGACCCTGGGCCCCGCACCGACAGGGTTCCGGAAACCCTCCCCGCCCAGCTCGGCGGCCGGACCCCGCGCCGCCCTCTCTGCAGAGCCCCCCAGCCCT